AATGTCGTTTTGAAGGATTCTCTTGGTACCATGGTTTTTGGTTTTACCTTCTTCAGCTTCAACACTTCTCATTATAAGTTCTTTTAACCGTTTCACATCTGCTAATTTCACCGGTTTTAGCAAGAAATCCTCTGCTCCTTCAGTCATACATCTAAAATACAAGAATCCACAAAATCAGATTATTACAGTTTTTAATGAATCCTGCGATTCATCTGTGTCGTAATTAGAACAATCACTTACTGTTCTATACGAGGTTGTATATTCTCAGATGACATTATCACTACTGGTATTTCTCTGAATGCAGATGACTCCTGGTAAAAGAAAAATATACAAACAGAGTTTTTGTAAGTAAAAAGCATTAATTCAAACTTAGCTTTGATAAATGAAAGAATCTGGAAAAAAAAGAATTACTTTGATCTTCTTGAGTAGTTCATATCCTGTTAATCCTGGCATTGAGTAATCTGTCACTATCAAATTCACCTTCAAATCCTGTAAATCACAAATTGGCAGAATTTTTCACATATAAAAAACAAAATAAGCAGATCCTTTTTTACAAGAAACTAAATAATAAATCTATCTTTTTTTCCCCCAGCAAAGGTTAATAAATAAATCAAGATTCAATATTTTAGAGAATTTAAGAAATGTTTGAATTGTACCTTAAGAGCAGAGGATTCTTTGTCTCCATCAAGACCAAGATACTGAAGAGCCATAGTCCCACTCTCAACAGTCGTCACTGTATCAAACAAATATTTATCAAAACAAGAAACCAAACAAAAGAGAAACCAGAAAGAGATTGGTTTTTACTTTTTGTACCTTTACAAGCAGAGATCTTAAGCAATCTCTCAATAACTTTACGATCAACGAAACTATCATCGACGGCAAGAACATGTAACTCCGACGGAGGTAAATCTCCCACTGCCATTGCTTTTTTTGCTCTGAGAGAAGGAAGGAAACAGAGGAAGAAGAAGCGTTTTTTACGTCAAACGGACACAGAAATCAATGTAAGGGAAGACCAAGAGTTACATAAATA